CTAAGCATGTTGAGTGACTTGTGCTCGTCTCCTAGGGGATGTGCTTGGAGGGCGCAATTGGGCAGGGTTGGTGTAATGACTCCCTTCTCTACTATATGGTGCTGCTTAGCTTACCGGGGTGGATCAGTGTGGCATACACGCATGTCTATGCACATGTGCATCTGCAGCAAAAGTGGATATGGCTTCGCCCATCTCCCTAGTCTCTGGACAGGACTCCGTGCTATCACTGACCTGTGATCAAGTACCCTTCTTTTGTCTCAGGCCTCCATCCACTCCCTGCCTCTACCCTGTCTGTGTCCAAGCTGTCCACCTGTCAGACGGCACCTCCATTGAGAGTTTTATCTCAGATAGGGTTGTGTTTCAAAACCCCACACTTTGGACACCCCTGCAGCTTGGACCCGTGCTGTTTCTTTGGGGAAGATTCTTGCTGAGCCATGGCCTGGTTCCAGCTTGCCCCAGAAAATGTTTGTGTTATTGCATAGTGGCAGAGGTTTAGAGATTATGGCAAATCACAACACTGGTGCCATGTTTCACTGCACTCTGGAATTTTTATCTCAATGCCAGCAAACATGGCTACTCGCTGGTGTCCACTGGGATCTTTCCCTGTAGAGAGGCTATATGGCCTCTAAAAAATGCACTCCAAGCAGGGATTTAACTTCCTCCAGTGTGGCATGAGGACCCCTCAGATCCCATTGACTATTCCTGGGGATTAACCCTACTTCCTCACCAGAGCACCACCAGGCACTGAGCTCTGAAAATTCAGACTTTGTGCTCCACTGTTTATAGAGTCCTGGTGGTATTAAAACCCCCTCCTTTCTTCCTGTCAATGGTTTTGGGGAAGAGATTTCTTGTTCAGTCCCTGAAAATGTTTTCACTCTTTCTTTTTCTCTCCAGCTACCTTCAGAGAAGTGCTTTTCTTGCATGATCTCAATGTGCTGCACCCTCCCCCTTTCTCTTCTTGTGTCCCACCTCTGCAAAAACAGCTCCCTACCATCTGCAGCTTTTCTCTCCCCCAGTTCACCCCTCATCACCACATACCTGTCGAGTTCTGTAGCTCAAGTTATACAGATTGCTGTGTTAAGCCTCAGATCAATTTCCCAGGTGTTCAAAAATAGTTTGATGCTGATCTAGCTGCATTTCAGGGACAAAACAAGCTCAGAATCTCCATGCTGCTCCGCCATCTTAATTCATACTTGCCATACTGTTTTCAGTAGTATCCAGCATACATATAAATTTTTGTTAGCACCACATAGCATTTGGGAGATTTATCTCTAAGTGAAAACTAATGAAATACAAAATTGTGTGTATGATGTGGTTCTACACATTGAATATATACACAGTTGTAGAAGGAAGTGTGGATATATACAGATAAAAATGATATTGATCTATGGTTTGGTATTTAAGGGTTTTATCTCACTTTTACTTTGTAATAAAAAGAAACTTGTGAGAGCTTCCACTGTCTGGAGTAGTAGCCTTCAAACTCCTCAGTGGGGATCACAAAAGCTTTGCTTTCTGGCTTCATTGCCTCTATTCGGGCCTCTTGCCATGCTGGCCATCCCAGCAGCCCTGTTGCTCTTTCCCTGAAGATGCTGTTACTGTTGCTCCTCATGCCTGCCCTGTGACATCTGCTCATAGTTTCTGTCCTTTGTACATACTCTCTCCTCTACCTGGAGTGCCCCCTTTCTTTGCCACAGAGCGACTACTCTCATCAGCTTTCAGCACTGTGCTTTGCCCATCGCCTCTGAAATTCACATAGACAATTGTTCCTAGACATGTTCCCTTTAGTGAATTCTACCAATTTCTACGGCGTCCATGTAACTCAAGCAACTCTCTGCTACACTGGCATCTAATTTCTACCTGATTCCTCTGACAATCAGGATTCACTAGCTCTGAGGCAACATGTGCTACTGTGAGATAGATTCCTTCACTTGCCACATGTTTACTGAGCATTTACAATGTGCTAGGAATTGGTTTAAACACTGTATTAGGCTGTGGCTATATATATGACCCCCACTTTGTTCCTGAGGCTCTCTTTCACGAAGTCAACTCCAACCCCAAATCCGGAAAGGAAAACAAAATATCTCCATGGGAAAGGACCCCCCTTTCCCCCTGTCCTGTTTCTCACCCATCTCATCTATTATTCCAATGCTCTCCTTCTTTGCCCGACCTCATGATGGGAGATCATTACACAACCCATGGGGCCCGAGTTCTTTCCTCCCTCCCTTAAATCCTGGGCTCCCGTCCAAACCCAGGGGGTTTGACCACTTTACCCATTCCTCTCAACTTTGCCTCAGTTCTGTGGTTACACTCTGTCCCTCTCTGGCCCTGGCCCAGGGACTCTGGACATCGACCCCTTCCCTTACTTGGCCCGGCACCAGTTTTGCACCTAGCACACATGGAACATTTGTGGAGGGAGCTTGGAAGTGGGACAGCCTGGGGGTACAATTCTGGGGGTCACTCTCTCTTTGCCTCCCTGAGTCCTCGGTTTCCTCAGTGTGGTTGGGCACATAATGCTTGGTGTAGCTAACATTTAGTGAGAACTTACTATGTTCCAGGCACTGAACAAGGGAACTTATAGGTTTTTCCCTACAACAACCCGACAAAACACTTTAAAAACAAACAAACAAACAAACAAACAAAAAGCCTCAAGTCTAAGCAAGAAAACCAAGGCACAAAGACCTTCGTTGCCTAAGGTAGGCAACTATTGGTAGGGGGGAGAACCAGCGTTCAAGCCCAGGCAGTCTGGCCCCAGAGACTTTGCTGTGAACTATTTGCTGAAAACCAGTCCCCAGCCCACAGGTGGAAATGCTCAAAGGCTGCAAGGAATATTTCATGTTTGCTCTGTTTGATCCAGTGTTTCCAAGGAGGAGGAATGTGTTTCAGGTATCAATCCCACTTTTTGCCATAAATGCAAGCCTCACTACGCAGGGCTGTTTTTGTGAGAGAGTTTAAGGCACACCATTTGGCTAGATGTAGCATTCTTGAAGATGATGAGAACAGAGAATTTTTTATGAGGTGAGTAAAGCTCAAAACAAAGTGGTCAAAGAAGAATGCAGGGCTGTCTGTAGAGTAGGAGTTTAAGTTTTACTAAGTTGTGCTGACATGATCAACATTTATTAACCAGTCAATATCTTTCCCATTTTCTGCTACCCAGACATCCCAACCAAGAAGTCCTGGAAGGTTGAAACGAGGCAACTCCTGTCCTTATGCTTCCCATCATGTGGGACTGAGGGCTGTGCTTGCTGATGATACCCAGGGTCTACTTACTGATTTGACAAACGAACAAATCTGGAAATCAGGATAGCATTGGACCAGTTAGATTATTGTATTGAAGAGACTAGGTTTAGTTTTGGTTGCCACATTTAAAGGGAGATGAGTATTTTTATTCCTGGATGCTTGTTGGTTCTGAGACTAGGCCACAGAGTGTGCAGTCAATCCCCAAGGTGGGAGCTTGAAGTGCAGGGTTGAAGGAAGGTTCTTCAAGGGGCTGGATATGCTATAAATCAATGTCCAATATATGTTCTCTTTCTTCCATAGTCGGGGTTCACCATCCAGGACTCAAGGGATGGAAATGGGATAGGCACCACTTATTATTACCCCTAGTGACGCAATTAGCAGCATCACTGATACTTATTGCTGCTGCACATGTGCTCTGCTGGCCTAGTGGTCTTTCTTCCAATGTCAGGAACGCTTTCACCAGGACACACAGGATGACTATGTTGAACTGCATGTGAACATATCTCCTGGCCACTTGGGGCTTCTCATGGGTCTGAATCAAAAGGAGTTACTGTCCTGGATCGATCCTGATCGCCAAGGGGAAATTGGTAGTTTCCTTAGAGATGAAGGTGATAAGAATTATGCTCTGAATACGGGAAGTACATGGGGCATCTCTTAAAACTACCATGTCCTGTCATTAAAGTAAACTGAAACATGCCACTTCCTGGTTGTGGCAGGACTAGTTATGGCCCAGATCCTTCAAGAAGAAAGATTTGTGTCACCTCACCAGACCAAACCATAACAGACTGAGATGCTTAGTGAGGGTAAAGCAAATATGGAATGGGAAGTGGGAGAAGGTATTTATAAATGCTAGCTCTGGTCATATCAGAGAATGTAGAAATAAGGAGTGTGATTATTCTAGCATTTTTCCTTATATGTTGTGAATATGACTATACACGTGTGCACCTGTGTGTCAGATTGTTTTCTTCCTTGTTCTACATCCTCCACGTAAAAGGTAAATGTAGTAATATTAGCTATCTTTGTATCATAGTCTTGAAGGTACAGGATTTCAGGGAGTGAAAGGATACCCTCCAGTGACGTTGCTTTGTTATTGGAGACAAAAGTCAATACGCTTTAGATTATATGAAAGACAGTTGGAGGATGACTTTATTCTAGTTCATTGGCAGATTAAGTATGGTTTAAGAAGATGTGTGAATGCCAAGTGGACTACAGTTGGACTGTGCAGGCAGGTTTTGGGGGTTGACCTGGATTGGCTGTAGTACCAGTTATTCAATTAAACAAAAGTCTAGGTGTTGCACCAAAAATTTTATAGATATGGTTAACATCTATAATCAATTGAATTTAAGAAAAGGATATTTTCTTGAGAAACAAGGAGGCCAAATACTCTCATTGAGTAGCCTTAAGAGCAAATTTTTAGAGAGTAGAAAATGCAAGAGAAGACTTTCTCCCTTAGGGCTTCTGCAACACCTTGGTTGTGGCCCACTGAGACCTTTTTCAGATTTCTGTTGTCCTGAACTACAAGATGATGAATTGTGTTCTTTTAAGGGACTAAGTTTGTGTCATTTGATAAAGCAGCAAGAGAAAGCATTAAAGGGACAGACCAGAGGGAGAAAGGGAAAACGAGATGAGAGGGCATACAAGCTGGGGAATAGGAGCATAATCAAGAGTTACATGCACAGTCAGAGCTACAGCTGGGTAGGAAGAGGGTAACAGTAAAAGAGTAGGAATCTTGGAAAAGCGTGAGACAGAGGTGGGAAGACACTGATGGGCAAGAGGAAGGGGTCAGGGAGGCTGGCAGGAGGCCTTTGTGGCTCATTCTTGTCTGCACTGGGGTTAGAGGAGCTTCTTGAGATGCAAGTGGATCCCATTCTTGGACCTCAACACAATCCTTGGGTGGGGAACAGGGACCCTGGAAGGATCTGGTACCAGCTCAAAGCGGAGCAGGGTCAGGGCCACCACCACCTTCATCTCGTTCATGGCAAACTGCTTCCCAATGCAGTTCCTGGGTCAGGGAGGAAAAAGGAAGTGAGAATTGGCCTCAGTCCGCTTGCTGGGAATCGCACATTCAGGGCTCTCCTGCATGGGCCCAGCCCCAATCTATTTTCTTACAGGGTACACACACATCTCGATCCAAGCCTTGCTTCACACTCTGCCTCTGACCCTTGACAAAGTCCACAGTCTTCTAGGACTAGCTCCTTCTCCTACCTCCTAATAGGCTTCAAATCCTTTTAGAAGGGGGTGAGATTCCTGAGCCACACAGGCAAGTCGAGTGATCACTACATCAGTTAATCATCAGGTTGTTTGCTCTCTCCATTGGCCACTTCTGATTTCATAAAGGGAAAACCAGGACAGGGTACCATAGGGATAGGCTGGGATACACTTCAGGTCCTAACTATCGGGGGGGGGGGGGGGGGGGGATACAGGGACCCAAGCATCAGAGAAACGACAAGATGGAATTGTGTAAGGAAGTCAGAATGGAAACTGGGTAGCATCCTGGGTGGGCCAGGTCTTAGCAATGCTCAACCTGCTGCACCAATTGCCTCCCATTTTGGGTCCAGACTTCTGTCATCCTCTCAACTTGCTCTTCAACCAGCTGCTATAGATTCTAATTCTACTCAACAAAGTCCCTGCCTGCCATCCCTCAGCCTCCTCACCTGGGCTTTCCTGTCTCCTGCATTCCCTCCCTGTCCTGAAGTCCCAGCCCAGTTCAGACCCTCCCAGGCCCTCCATCACAGCCAGGACATGTCCATGTGCCTCGGCTGGCATCAAAGCCCTCTCTGGCTTGTTACCTTACTCACAGGTCACCAGTCTAGCATACAGAGACAGACGTAATAAGTAGTCTTATAATTGAATGATGTTTATTGAACTGAAAAAAACAACAACCCTGAATGGAATGAAATGTGAGCAGCATTTAGATGTGAGCTAGGAAATGATTTGACTAGTCTTCTCCTGTCTTTATGGGCAGTCATATGACTTGCACCAATGTTTAGGTTCAAACCCTACAGTGAGTAGGATTCACTGTAGTTCAAATCACTACAGTGAGTATCTGGAAGATAGTTTGCTTAAAGCCTGTCCTGTGAATGTGGATTTACTATTTGAAGAATTTACAGATTTATATTTTTGGAAAAGAACTTTTTTCTAGTAAATATTTACAAGGTTTATGGAGGTTACTATTTAGAGGACAATTTCAGGAGCACTGGAGAATTTCATAGCAGTCACTCTGGAGAACAGTCATCCAACTCCACAGGCACTTCAAGAAGTGTGCTTTATGTTTTACACACCAAGAAATTTGCAAATGCCATATACAAAAGTGTCATCTACAAAATAGTGGGTTTTCTCTCAAAAGCAGTTGATTGTCCTCAATTTTATGCTTTTTGCCAGTATTGACTATATAGATTCTGGGACTAAGATATATAAATCCCATTCACATAAAGAATGTTGCCAGCTAAAAATGTTGTCATGGTTATGTGAATTTTAATAAGTAGAAACATTTTATTGGATGTAAAGAAGACAAGTATTGATGTGAGGCATTGTTCAACTGGCTACTCCAACCGGTATATGACTTGAACACTTATAACAAGAATCCGTGGGAAATCCAATCACAGGCAAACAGCACTGATACAGCGAGTGACAGGTCAGCGAATAGGTACAAAAAGCAATGGGCTGGACTCACAATATGGGGTGAGAGAAAATCATCTTTAGAGATTAGTATTAATTGAGAAAAGCAAACATCTGAAAAATTCTAATTATGAGAAATCATCCTCCTAAAGTGGGGAAAGCATTAGAATACATTAAAGTTTGGAATAACAAGATACTGAATTATAGGTGGCCATTGGGTAAGAGCAAGGGGTCAAAGGCTCTATGGCAGGTTGTGATTGCCACCTTTCCTTTGAACATAGAGACACACACCTTTTTCCCAGCACACACTCAAATAAGGCCAAGAACCACAGACAACACACATGAAGAGGTCACAAACATATGCCCAGTAACACACCCTTCCATGTTCAAGTGCCTCACCTTGACCCTCCTGAGAAGGGCAGGAAAGCATGGCTGTGTCGAGCAGAACCTGGTGCAAACCGTAAAGGATCAAATACCTGCAGAGAGAACACCAGGGCCAGGACAGGTGTGGTCAAGCCCCTCCTTCCCATCAACCAACCACCACACAGACCACTTAGAGGTGGGACAGGTAGGCGGATATGTCTGGAGACATCATTCCCTCCTCCGTAGGCCATCATACCTCTGGGTTTGGCCACACCTTCGGGTTGTGGTGAAGGCAATAAAAGGAGAGCGTGAGTACGAATCCTGTAGGACAGAAGATGAAAGACTGATCATATCCATGCCACGAGGACCCATGTGCATGCTCAACCAGCTTGGCAGCCACACTGAGAGATACTTCTCATCACTCCAAGTGGATTGATTGTGTTGCAAGGGAAGTGGGGCCTATATGGCAAAACATAAGAGAACAGATTACTAGACAACCAGAACCAGGTTGAGAAGCAGGAAGGAACTGGAGTCTTATGTTCTGGAGCAACTAAAGTGACAGACAACTCACATTTATCAAGTACAATCTATGAGCCCTTGGGGAACATGCAAGAACTTATCCATCCACACAATAGGCATCCAATGACAGCGCTCATATCTCCATTGTTCACATGAGGCACTTGAGCCTCAAGAAGCTAAGCTACTTGCCTATGACCACACAGCTAGGATGTGGCAGGACTGGGATTCAGATTAGAGGTGAGCCAAGGGTTGGCCTCCATCTGTGGCTGGGATCTCAGATATGATCTTCAGCTGCTCTCTGCCATCAACCTGAGGCCTCCCCAGAGACTGGACCATCTGTGCCATGACAGTGAATTCTCTAATCTCTCTCAATAACCTAGACCCCAAGAGGAAGGACTACATATCCCCTTGCTCCACCTGATTGTCTTTCAAACACTCACATCTCAAAATTAGAATTAGAGTTTTAGGGCATAACCCAAAACCACTTTCAGAGGCTGCCATTTGCTTATTGAATTTCTGCTGAATTTAAACTCTTTGCAAATTACAACATACACCTCACCCAAACCGCAAAGGAAGCATTGAATTTGAGGTGAAAACTAGCCTCAAAGACTTTCAGGACCTGCCCTAGGATTTATAGATTTCTGACTTCTGTGTGTTCTCATGTAGTGAGTGTGGTGACATTCATACCTTTGGGTAAGGAGCGTCCATCAGGGAAGGTGATGGGCTTGCTGAGTTCTCTGGCAATGCCTGGAACTGGTGGATAGAGTCGCAATGCTTCCTTGATGCACATGGTGGTGTAGGGCATCTGGTCTAGGTGGTCCCTGAAACAAAGCTATCCTGAAGGACAGGCTAGGCTCTGACAAGCAAGGAATTCTCTAGATGAGTGGGCAAGGCTCTCCCATCTCAAGAGCACTCACCAGGTGATGGAGGTGCCATCCCCCAGGAGGCTCTGGACCTCCTGCCGACACCTTTGCTGATGCTCAGGGTGTGTGGCCAGGGCATAGAGGATCCAGGAGATGCCGCTGGCTGTGGTGTCATGGCCCTCAAACATGAACGTGTCCACTTCGGCACGGAGGTCCTCGTCAGACAAGCTACTGCCATCCTCCATCTGGGAAGACACGGTGATACGGCATGATTTGCCCCTCTCCTCCGAGTTTGTGGGCAAAGCCTCACGCCTCCCCTACTCACACTCACTTTGGCGAAGAGGAGGATGTCCAGGAAGTCCAAGTGCCTCTTGCTCCTGACCTTCTCCAGTTCTCCCTCTTCCTGCAGCTGAGCCTTCCTCAGCTTGATCACTCGGTCTGTTGCAGAACAGTGTTCCCAGGCAGAGCTGAGAGCTCTGGATGCCCAGACACAGCCACCCTCCTTGGCCCACCTGCCCCCTGTGTCCCATCCTGGCTGCCAGCTGGATCAGGAGAGTGGTAATGGGTGTGCATGTCAGGGTGAGAGCTGTAGCATCATGTGCTTGTGGGTTGGGTTGCTCAACAACAGCACAGCTTGAGGAGGCTCTGCTTGAATGCTGCAGGCCGGGGGTGCCATTCAACATTCACCATAGTGCTGACACATGTCAGCCTGTGCACATGATAGCATCCTAACCCCTGCACCAGGGGGATACCCAGTGTGGTTGTGTCCCAGCCCCTGCAGGGGTCAAGGGGGCACAGGGCTCTGTCTGAGTGTTCAGAGCCAGTCCCTTTGGGATGTGTCTGATGAAGGAGGGGAGCTGCCCAGGGGGCAGAGTCCAACCTGAGTGTTGATGAGCAAGCTGGCAGGCCCGGTGGTTCTGGCGCCCCTCAGGGGTCAGCCTGTAGATGATGTCATTCTGGTAGAAAGCATTCCTCACCCGGGAAAAAAACAGGTTGCTCAGGTCTTGAATGGCCTGGATGTAGGACTGGGAGATCCTGAATGGGGAGGATGCAGAAGGGCTTGTGGGGAGGGAGTTGTCTGCCCTGGAGTGACTTGGAGCTGTGGGTGGAGGGCTCCTCAATCAGTGGGACAGACAACCCAAGGCATTCGCCTTTTCTTTCTTATGCCCTCAAGACCATCAGTCCATTGGTGTGATGGTAGCCAGGATTGTTCCTATGGCAGAGATCTGTGGCTAATGAACTTTGGTGTGGGCCAAATTTGACAGTGGCTTGGTGCTCTCTGCAGAGAGCTGTGGCTGTTTGTGCTGGGAAACACCCAAGCTGCACTACCTACCTCTCAGCTTAAGTCCACACCAGTTGGCAGGAAATAGGACCTGGTAGCTGATGATTATACTGACCTGTCTACTTGGTGGCTGCTGGGGTAGCTGAAGGCGCACTTCATAATGGTGTCCAAGGTCATCAAGGACACATGCTCAAAAAGCTCCAGATATTTGTTCTCTCTGATGAGGTTCTCCCATTTGTCCTGTGGTGGAGAGACACAATTATCCTCTGCTCCTCCAGAAGCACCACGCTGACAAGGCTAGGCTCTATTTCTGTCTCCCCAAATATTCTGATGAAATGTCCTCACTTTCTTTTTTTTTTTTTTCCTTTCAAACAGTCACTTTATTTATTTATTTTTTTTTTACAAATAGTTTATTGTCAAATTAGTTTCCACATAACACCCAGTGCTCATCCCCACAAGTGTCCTCCTCCATGCCGATCCCTCCTCCCCCCCACATCCATCAGTCCTCAGTTTTTGTCAGCATTCAAGAGTCTCTCATGGTTTGCCTCTCTCCCTTTCCCCCACCATTTCCCCCCTTCTTCTCCCCCTTGGTCCTCCGTCAAGTTCCTCCTAATCCTCCTATACGTGCAAACATATGATATTTGTCCTTCTCTGCCTGACTTATTTCGCTCAGCATAACACCCTCAAGGTCCATCCATGTTGCTACACATGGCCAGATTTCATTGTTTCTCATTGCCATGTAGTATTCCATGGTATAGATAAACCACATCTTCTTGATCCATTCATCTGTTGATGGACACTTAGGCTCTTTCCATGTTTTAGCTATTGTGGAGAGTGCTGCTATGAACATTGGGGTACATGTGCTCCTATGCCTCAGCATTTCTGTATCCCTTGGGTAAATTCCTAGCAGTGCTATTGCTGGGTCATAAGGGAGTTCTATTGTTAGTTTCCTGAGGAACCTCCACACTGTTTTCCAGAGGGGCTGTACCAGTTTACATTCCCACCAACAGTGTAGGAGGGTGCCCGTTTCTCCACATCCTCGCCAGCATCTAGAGTTCTCTGATTTGCTCATTTTAGCCACTCTGACTGGCGTGAGGTGGTATCTCAGTGTGGTTTTGATTTGTATTTCCCTGATGAGGAGGGATGCTGAGCATCGTTTCATGTGTCTGTTGGCCATCTGGATGTCCTCTTTGGAGAAGTGTCTGTTCATGTCTTCTGCCCATTTCTTCACTGGGTTGTTTGTTTTTCGGGCGTGTAGTTTGGTGAGTTCCTTATAGATTCTGGATATTAACCCTTTATCTGATATGTCATTTGCAACTATCTTTTCCCATTCCGTTGGTTGCCTATTAATTTTCTGGGTTGTTTCCTTGGCTGTGCAGAAGCTTTTAATCTTGATGAGGTCCCAACAGTTTATTTTTGCTCTTGATTCCCTTGCTTTTGGGGATGTGTCAAGTAAGAAGTTGCTGCGGTGGAGGTCAAGGAGGTTGTTTCCTGCTTTCTCCTCTAGGGTGTTGATAGTTTCCTGTCTCACGTTCAGGTCCTTTATCCATTTTGAGTTGATTTTTGTGCATGGTGTGAGAAAATGATCTAGTTTCATTCTTCTGCATGTTGCTGTCCAGTTCTCCCAACACCATCTGTTAAAAAGGCTGTCTTTTTTCCATTGGATATTCTTTCCTGCTTTGTCAAAGATCAGTTGGCTGTATACTTTTGGGTCCACTTCTGAGTTCTCAATTCTGTTCCATTGGTCTATGTGTCTGTTTTTGTGCCAATACCATACTGTCTTGAGGATGACAGCTTTGTAGTAGAGGCTGAAGTCTGGGATGGTGATACCTCCCGTTTTGGTTTTATTTTTCAGTATTACTTTGGCTATTCGGGGTCTTTTGTGGTTCCATACAAATTTTTGGATAGTTTGTTCTAGTTTTGAGAAGTATGCTGGTGCAATTTTGATTGGAATTGCATTGAATGTGTAGAGTGCTTTAGGTAGTAATGACATCTTAACTATATTTATTCTTCCTATCCATGAGCATGGAATGTTTTTCCATTTCTTTGTGTCTTCTTCAATTTCCTTCATAAGTTTTCTATAGTTTTCATCATACAGATCTCTTGTATCCTTGGTTAGGTTTATTCCGAGGTATTTTATGGTTTTTTGTGCAATTGTGAATGGGATCAGTTTCTTGATTTCTCTTTCTGTTGCTTCATTATTGGTGTATAAAAATGCAACCGATTTCTGTACGTTGATTTTGTACCCTGCAACTTGGCTGAATTCTTGGATCAGTTCTAGTAGGCTTCTGGTGGAGTCTGTCGGGTTTTCTATGTAGAGTATCATGTCATCTGCGAAGAGTGAAAGTTTGACTTCCTCTTTGCCAATTCTGATGCCTTTGATTTCCTTTTGTTGTCTGATGGCTGATGCTAGGACTTCCAGCACTATGTTAAACAACAGTGGTGAGAGTGGACATCCCTGTCGTGTTCCTGATCTCAGGGGGAAAGCTCTCAGTTTTTCCCCGTTGAGGATGATGTTAGCTGAAGGCTTCTCATAGATGGCTTTGATGATGTTTAAGTAGGTTCCTTCTATCCCAACTTTCTCGAGAGTCTTTATTAAGAAGGGATGCTGTATTTTGTCAAATGCTTTTTCTGCATCTATTGACAGGATCATATGGTTTTTATCTTTTCTTTTATTGATATGATGGATCACATTGATTGATTTGCGAATGTTGAACCAGCCCTGTAACCCAGGAATGAATCCCACTTGATCTTGGTGGATGATTCTTTTGATATGCTGCTGGATTCGATTTGCAAGGATCTTGTTGAGAATTTTTGCATCCGTATTCATCAAGGATATTGGCCTATAGTTCTCTTTTTTTGCTGGATCTCTGTCTGGCTTGGGAATCAGAGTGATGCTGGCTTCATAAAATGAGTCCGGGAGTTTTCCTTCGACTTCTATTTTTTGGAATAGCTTGAGAAGAATTGGGATTAATTCTGTTTTAAATGTCTGGTAGAATTCCCCAGGGAAACCATCAGGTCCAGGGCTCTTATTTGTTGGGAGATTTTTGATCACTGATTCGATTTCTTCACTCGTTATGGGTCTGTTCAGGTTTTCTATTTCTTCCCGTGTGAATTTTGGTAGTGAGTGTGTGTTTAGGAATTTGTCCATTTCTTCTAAGTTGTCCAATTTGTTGGCATATAATTTTTCATAGTATTCCCTGATAATTGCTTGTATTTCTGAGGGGTTGGTTGTAATAAGTCCATTTTCATTCATAATTTTGTCTATTTGGGTGCTCTCTCTTTTCTTTTTGATAAGCCTGGCTAGAGGTTTGTCAATTTTGTTTACTTTTTCAAAAAACCAACTCTTGGTTTCATTGATCTGTTCAATTGTTTCTTTGGTCTCTATGTTGTTTATTTCTGCTCTAATTTTTACTATTTCTCTTCTTCTACTGGGTTTAGGGCGTTCTTGTTGCTCTGCCTCTAGCTCCTTTAGGTGAGCTGTTAGATTTTGGACTTGCGCTTTTTCTAATCTCTTGAAATAGGCCTGGAGAGCAATGTACTTTCCTCTTAGGACTGCCTTGGCCGCATCCCATAGATTTTGAATTGTTGTGTTTTCATTTTCATTTGTTTCCATATATTTTTTAATTTCATCTCTAATTGCCTGATTGGCCCATTCATTCTTTAGAAGGGTGTTCTTTAACCTCCATGTTTTTGGAGGTTTTCCAGACTTCTTCCTGTAATTGATTTCAAGTTTCAAAGCATTGTGATCTGACAGTGTGCATGGTATGATCTCTATTCTTTTATATTTATTGAGGGCTGCTTTATGTCCCAGTATGTGATCTATCTTGGAGAATGTGCCATGCGCACTTGAGAAGAAAGTAAATTCCCTGGCCTCAGGATGTAAAGTTCTAAATATATCCGTCCTGTCCATCTGGTCCAATGTATCTTTCAAGTCCATTATTTCTTTAGTGATTTTCTGTCTGGTTGACCTATTCATTGCTGTAAGCGGAGTATTAAAGTCCCCTGCTATTAGCACATTCTTGTCTATAAGCTTGTTTCTGTTTGTGATTAATTGGCACTAACTGTCTTTTAGTAGACCAGGAAACATTGTTCCTCAGGGCACAAAGGGGAATCTTTCTGTCCTATAGTTGACCTAACACGAGAAAGAGGTGAAGTCCCAAATCAAGGAGCAAGTGTCAAGACAGGAGAAAGACTAAGGGGCCAGTACCAGAGTTCGTAAGAAAGGGATATCAGAGATCTCAATTCCTTTTGTTTAACAAATGTTAACTGAGCAGTTAGTGAGAAATAAGGGTCCTGTTCAGGGATGATATTATGCCAGGAACAAGCCCTGAAGGTAGAGATCTGGTCTCCATTTCCCTCCATGGAGTGGCTAAAATCTATGTAGAAGCCTTCAGCCCAAGCCAAGAGCCCACTTCAGTGACATCCTTGGGATGTTCACCCTGCCATTGAAGCTGCTACTGCCCAGGTCAGCCAGCGGCAGCTTGTCTTGTTGTTCAGGGGGATTTACTAGTTTTCCTTTCCAAACCAAAGACATGAAGTGAGGAGGAGAAGGGACCCTATATCAACCATGACTTCTCTTCTGTGGGCAGTGAGCACAGAGTGGAGGAAAGCTGGTGCCTAGGTACTTTCTTGTCCTATCAACTCTTGGGGAGACCTGTCTCATAGTAAGGTACAAGTGCATGATTTGGGGAGCCAGGCCTGATGGATATCTGAGGGACACACCTGCCTGAGAGTCTTCTGTGAACTGTGCTGTGGGTGTGAGTGTGCAGGTGAGGGTGGGATAGACGTACCAGCATCAGGTGGACAGAGTCAGCCATGAGCCCCACGTAGTGCTTCAGGATGTCATAGTGGAAGGCTGGAGTCAGCATCCGCCGGTGCTGGAACCACGTCTGTCCATTCAACAGGAGCAAACCGTACCCTGGGTCATAATGGGGGGTTGTGGGGAGACGTGTCCCGGGAATTCAGGAGTAACCAGTGTATGAGAAGAAGGACATCCTGGCTAAGGCGGGAAGGCCAGTGCATACGAGGAGGGTGATTTCACAAATGCTGATTCACAGCAAATGGTCATGACAGGTGAGAGATCAACGAGGAAACAGAGCAGTGTGTGGGTCATAGAAGGACTTTAGTGGAAAGTCAGGCAGAGATCATTGGCAAGGACTGCGAAGTGATGTGGAAGAAGCTGAGCTGCAGGACAGCTCTCCCTATCATTAGGAAGAGGTGAGGGTTTTATTAGGAGAGAAATGAGGCTCCATTCAGGCTTGAGAGGGGTGACTGGTGCCAGTCACCTTTTGTTTAATCTGAGCTGAACGGATAGTTGTTGGCAAACCTAACCAGAAGGTGGGCTATAGTCCTAGTTAAGTGTACTTACCTATCCAGGGAGCCAGGAATCTGTAGGAGTCATGAGACTTTGGGTCTGAAAGGTAAGAGGGCATTACAGGAAACCGAAGTGGAACAAAGAGGGAAGCCTGCCCCCAGGAGGTGCTGTGGTCCAGGCCATTGGCCCGCATCCTTTCCTGAGGATTGTCAGCAGGTAGTGTGTGTCAAGCCACCTCCCACTTGCCCACTTGGAAGGGAAGGGAACAGAAGGGAAGGGAAGGGAAGGGAAGGGGAACAGAGTTGTTTCAAAGTGCAGTTTCAGTAAATATTCGGCCTCATGCTCGTTGTGCACTGGGAGGATGCAAGGTACAGGGTCAGGTATTGATTTCTGAGCCTCCAGTCTCTTCTACAATTTCACAGACCCGTGGACATGTACCCACGGGGCAAGAGCTGCTTCAACAAGTATGAGGGTGTCCTCTCACCAGATCGTCCCAGGATCAGTTTCATGTAGTCAGGGTCATAGACCACGAGCTCCACCTCTGTTCCCCATATCCAGCGAGGACAGGCACATGGGAATTTCTCTACCCATTTCCGTAGGCATTGCAGATCGTCTTCTTTTTGGAGCTGTTACCAAAGGAAAGATAAAATCAGTAAACCGTTTCCTCTGGTTCCATCACACAGGTTTGGGATAAGGGCAGGAGAAGCGTTCTGTATCTAGCAGCAGAACAAAATGTTCAGAACTATGTCTTATGACCTGGACTCTGATCCAGACCCCGCTGGTTGTCCAAGGTTTGCTCCAAGTCCAGTTTCTGTCCTATTGTTGAGTAGAGTTAGGAGCCTTGACAACCAGCTGCCTACAGAATCACGTCAGGGATTGACTCCATGGTGCACAAAACTTTTGGAAGTCATTGATATGACATTGGCATCAAGAATTTAGAACAACTTCTATCACTTGGTAAGCAGTTTTGTCATATAATTTTCTTTATTTGGAGCATGAAGTGGATTATTTTTAAAAGTTAAATTGATGTATTAACTTTATTGTGTCATATTTCTTTCTCTTTTTTTGCAGTCTGAGTGTAAAAGCTTTTATTTATTTTTTTTACAGCTTATTGTCAAATGGTTTCCATATAACACCCAGTGCTCATCCCAACAAGCGCCCTCCTCCATGCCCATCACTTCCCTTCCCCTCCCCCCCACCCCCATCAGCCCTCAGTTTGTTCTCAGCATTCAAGAGTCTCTCATGGTTTGCCTCCCTCCCTATCCCCAGCTATTTTCCCCCTTCTTCTCCCACTTCATCCAACATTAACTTCCTCCTAATCCACCTATAAGTGCAAATGGGCTGAATGCTCATCAAAAGACATAGGGTAGCAGAATGGATTAAAAAAACCAAAATCCATCGATTTGTTGTCTACATGAAACTCATTTTAGACTGGAGGACACCTTCAGATTGAAAGTAAGGGGATGGAGAAATATATATCATGCTACTGGAAGTCAAAAGAAAGCTGGAGTAGCTATACTTATATCAGACAAACTGGACTTTAAATTAAAGACAGTAACAAGGGATGAAGAAGGGCCTTGTCTTGCCATATTACTTTCAATAGTATCCAGCATACTTGTAAATGTTTGTTAGCATCACTTAGTGTTTGGCAGGTATATAGCTACGTGAAAACTAAATAAATACAAAACTGTATGCATGATATGGTTTTACATATTGAATATATACACAGTTGTTAAGTCTGGATAAATAGAGATAAAAATGATACTGATCTATGGTTTTATCTCATTTTTTTTTTTTTACAAATAGTTTATTGTCAAATTAGTTTCCACATAACACCCAGTGCTCATCCCCACAAGTGTCCTCCTCCATGCCGATCCCTCCTCCCCCCCACATCCATCAGTCCTCAGTTTTTGTCAGCATTCAAGAGTCTCTCATGGTTTGCCTCTCTCCCTTTCCCCCACCATTTCCACCCTTCTTCTCCCCCTTGGTCCTCCGTCAAGTTCCTCCGACACACTCCACCAGAAGCCTACTAGAACTGATCCAAGAATTCAGCCAAGTTGCAGGGTACAAAATCAACATACAGAAATCGGTTGCATTTTTATACACCAATGATGAAGCAACAGAAAGAGAAATCAAGAAACTGATCCCATTCACAATTGCACAAAAAAACATAAAATACCTCGGAATAAACCTAACCAAGGATACAAGAGATCTGTATGATGAAAACTATAGAAAACTTATGAAGGAAATTGAAGAAGACACAAAGAAATGGAAAAACATTCCATGCTCATGGATAGGAAGAATAAATATAAATAAGATGTCATTACTACCTAAAGCACTCTACACATTCAATGCAATTCCAATCAAAATTACACCAGCATACTTCTCAAAACTAGAACAAACTATCCAAAAATTTGTATGGAACCACAAAAGACCCCGAATAGCCAAAGTAATACTGAAAAATAAAACCAAAACGGGAGGTATCACCATCCCAGACTTCAGCCTCTACTACAAAGCTGTCGTCATCAAGACAGTATGGTACTGGCACAAAAACAGACACATAGACCAATGGAACAGAATTGAGAACTCAGAAGTGGACCCAAAAGTATACAGCCAACTGATCTTTGACAAAGCAGGTTTTATCTCATTTTCACTTTGTAATAAAAAGAAACTTGTGTGAGCTTCCACTGTCTGCAGTAGTAGCCTTCAGCCCCCTCACTGGGGATCACAAAAGCCTTTGCTTTCTGGCTTCACTTCCTCTACTTTGCCTCCTGCCATGCTGGCCATCCCAGCAGCCTTATTACTCCTTCCCTGAAGATCCTGTTACTGTCACTCCTCATGCCTGCCCTGAGACTCCTGCTTACAGTTCATGACCTTTGTACACACTCTTTCCTCTACCTGGAGTGCCCTTCTACTTTGCCACAGAGCAACTGCCACTCCTCAGCTCTCTCAACACTCTGCTTTGCTCATCACTTCCGGAATTCACATAGACAACGGTTCCTAGACATGCCCTCGTAGGCAACTCCCCTTATTTCTACCATTCTTTGTAACTCAAGCAACTCTGCTACATTGGCATCTAATTTCTGCCTGCTTTCCTCTGACATTCAGGATTCCTTAGCGCTGAAGTGACGTGTGCTACTGTAGGGCAGGTTCCTTCACTTGACACATGTTTACTGAGCATTTACTATGTGCATGGCACTCGTTTAAACACTCAATTAGAACATAGCTATGGATCTTACCTGTTTGGAGTTTCTGCTCTACTTGGGGAGACAGACAGATTAAGAGGCTGCGATAGTAGATTATTAGTGTGGTAAAGGGAAGTCCAGGTGTCTGGGTAAGCTTTGGGCTCTCAAAATTGGACATTAGAAAGCCCTTCCTCATGCATTCACTCATTCATCAAATCATTGACCAACACCCTATTGGCTCACAAAGATGAATTAGAAGTGGTCTCTCCAATAAGAAGCTCACAACTCTGACACTGCAGACAAAAATAGCTGAGTCAGGTCAGCTCTGCTTAATGAGAAGGACAGTCCAGGGGAAAAAGAGCTGACCTCTTCACTCTTGAGACCCCCAGAAAACATCTTGGAGGAGGCTTGGGCTGGGCTTTGGCAGATGGCCATATGAAGGACAAGATCTATTCCGGGAGAGGGGAAAGTGTGAGCAGTGCCCTTGAAGGGGAATGCACAAGCAAGGGGAGACAATGAGTAACTTAGGGTACAGGAGGAGGTTAAGAAGGAGGAGAGAGCAGTGTTGGGGACCAATATGGCATAGCAGCTACTTTCAGTTCTCTTCTTCATGTTCAAGCTACTAGAATTAAGGTGCCTCCTTCTCTAAGGAAAGGTAGGCATTAGAAGATGACAACGCCCTCATCGACTCCTACCATTGTGCAATCCACAAAACCTTGTTGAGAACCTCGCCATGTGGGTTGTTCTTTGCTGTGGGCACCCCTCACCTCCAGCTAGTGCTGGCAGTGCTGGGTGGATATTGCTGCTTTCGCTGGCCCACCCTGCCCTCCCAACCCCAGTCCAACCCCTTCCTACCTCTTTGATGTGCCCGAAGAGCCAGTGGGAAGGAGGGGACGGGAAGTGCTGGACAGCTTTGAGCAGCCGCTGCCTGCGCAGGTAGAGCTGTGCTGCCTTGAGCAACAGCAGGGTCAAGCCTAGCAGAGAGGCCACTTGCAGGAACCCTGAGACATTGCCCAGGGTTCCGATGAGACTCAGCATAGAGACACTCATGATGCAGGGACAGCTGGATTGCTGGCTCTCCCTGTCTGTGACTGTGTCTGACTTCCTCTGAACAACCAAGCCCCGTCACCTCAGGGAAGATTGCCCTGCCCACCTGGAGGGAGGGCAAAGAAACAGAGCAAACCTTAGAAAGGGCTTGCAGAGTTCACTAACTGTGAGGATTCACCTTGGGAATCAGTGGGAGAAACCTTTCGCAGCAGACAGTGACAGTGGTTGGCAAACCTCCACTTGCTTTTGTCCCAATTATTCTTCCAATATTTCAGGAACACCACGTAACTGCCAGCAGTTGCACTATGGGCTGTGACACAGATGTCCTCAAACAGACATGAGCCCTGACGGCAAGAAGATTGCAGTCCAGTTACCAAGTTCAGAATGTGTGGGTGGTTCCATTATCATTCCTTTTCAGAGAGCAAAAGTCTTACAGGGAGCTAATGTGAGATGGCCACAGAAGATCCACGATTGAGAGTGCCATCTGCGATTAGAATCAGGGAGTTTCCAGACCCCTTGCCTCAGCTGCCTCAGCAATGATCCCCAAGCTGTCACTGTTTACCCTCTACTCTTGTCTGGGGCTAACTCTGCTGACTGACAGCACAAGCCTTAGATTTGGTTGCCCAGCTCCAGGGCATCTTGACCTAGGAAGCCAGTGAGTTCACTCCCTGAGCCTCGATTCTCCTGTAAGGTGGGGTAATCATCCTTTTTCCAAGTGATTCCCAGGAATACACTTTGATGCAGTCACTCGTGCACTCAGTCACTGTTCTTAAGCTCACAGTCTGCTAGGTAAAGGCAGAGAACTAACATTACAGGAAAACACAATAAAGCCTGTAATGAAAGAGTGAATAGTGGGCTGGGCCGTATCAGGGAAGAGGAAACAAAAGAGAAAAATGGGACTCTCAGGGGTGAATAGGAGTTCACCAGGTGGAGAGTGCTAGAGAAGGGGATGGACACTAAAGACTCATGGAGAGCCTATGAAAGGATCTCTGATGAGGACAATTTAATCTCTTACTTGTTCCTGATTCTCTTCCCCAAAGACAACTCAGGGCCCAAATTCAGAAATTAAAAAAAAAAAATCTTAGTGAGGACTTCTTTCGAAGGCAGCCGCCAAGAGTCCCCCTTTTCTTCTGACTGTTCCTCACCCATCTCACCTATAACTCCAGCGTCCTTCTCTTTTGCCTGACCTCGTGACAGGAGATTCATTACACAACCAATGAGGGTGGAGTTCTTTCCTCCCTCCCCTAAATCCTGGCTCCTGTCCAAACCCAGGGAGATGTAACCACTTTACTCATTTCTCTCAACCTTGCCCCAATTTTGTGGTTACTTGCTGTCCCTCTCTGGTCCTGGGCCAAGAGAATTTGGACCCAGCTCCTACCCTTATTCGGCCCAGCCCCAACGTTGCATCTGGCACACAAGGAACACTTATGGGGGGAGCTTGGAAGTAGGATGTCTGAAGTGGAATTCTGGGTGTCATCTGAATACTTGGTTTCCTCCATATGCTTGGGCGCATAATGCTTGTAAATAGCTAACATTTAGTGAGTGCTTACTATGTTCTAGGCGCTGAGCAAGGAACATTATATATTTTACCCACAATAACTCTAACAGATTTTTTTTTAATGTTTATTCACTTTTGAGAGAGGTGGGGAAGGAGGCAGAGAGAGAGGAAGACAGGATTGGAAGTGGGATTCCTGCTGACAGTAAAGAGCCCGATGTAGGTTTCAAACTCAGGGACCATGAAATCATGACCTGAGCTAAGTAGGATGCTTAACCAACAACCCAGGTGACCCGACCTGAAACATTTTTTATTTTTCTTTTTTTTCTTTTTCTTTTTTTTTTTTT